TTCAAATCTTATCTTAATCCAGTACTTGCTGACCTACATGGCTGGACTTCCACTGACGAGATTTATATCCTACTATTCTGATCTTATTGTACTAATGAAATAAAATGGAGTTTTATATCCTACTGTTCTGTATCTTATTGGGCTAATGGAATGGAGTTTTATATCCTACTGTTCTGTATGTTATTGGACTAATGAAATGAAATGGAGTTTTATATCCTACTGTTCTGTATCTTATTGGACTAATAAAATGAAATGTAGTTTTATGTCTTACTGTTCTGTATCTTATTGGACTAATGAAATGAAATGGAGTTTTATATCCAGCTGTTCTGTATCTTATTGAACAAATGAAATGAAATAGAGTTTTATATTCTACTGTTCTGTATCTTATTGGACTAATGAAATGAAATGGAGTTTTATATCCAACTGTTCTGTATCTTATTGAACTAATGAAATGAAATAGAGTTTTATATTCTACTGTTCTGTATCTTATTGGACTAATGAAATGAAATAGAGTTTTATATCCTACTGTTCTGTATCTTATTGGACTAATGAAATGAAATAGAGTTTTATATCCTACTGTTCTGTACCTTATTGGACTAATGAAATGAAATAGAGTCTTATATCATACTGTTCTGTATCTTATTGGACTAATGAAATGGAGTTTTATATCCTACTGTTCTGTATCTTATTGGACTAATGAAATGAAATAGAGTTTTATATCCTACTGTTCTGTACCTTATTGGACTAATGAAATGAAATAGAGTCTTATATCATACTGTTCTGTATCTTATTGGACTAATGAAATGGAGTTTTATATCCTACTGTTCTGTATCTTATTGTACTAATGAAATGAAATGGAGTTTTATATCCTACTGTTCTGTATCTTATTGGACTAATGAAATGAAATAGAGTTTTATATCCTACTGTTCTGTATCTTATTGAACTAATGAAATGAAATAGAGTTTTATATCCTACTGTTCTGTATCTTATTGAACAAATGAAATGAAATGAAGTTTTATATCCTACTGTTCTGTATCTTATTGGACTAATGAAATGAAATAGAGTTGTATATACTACTGTTCTGTATTTTATTGGACTAATGAAATGAAATAGAGTTGTATATACTACTGTTCTATATCCTACTGTTCTGTATCTTATTGGACTAATGAAATGAAATAGAGTTTTATATCCTACTGTTCTGTACCTTATTGGACTAATGACATCAAATGGAGTTTTATATCCTACTGTTCTGTATCTTATTGGACTAATGGCATCAAATGGAGTTAAATGCCTGTGGTAATTTGATATTTATTTACAATCAATTTACAATTTCTATTTACAAATAATATAAATATTAAAATAAATAATAATGACACAAAAACAAAATGGCTGAAACTTGGCGGCAAGTTCCTGGAAAATTTTCATAATATTTTGAGCGTTCTGGAATCTATTTTGTAAAAATGCTCAGATCAACTTCATGCAATACATTTCTCGCATCAAAAAAATTGTATACTTTTTTTCAAATTGAGACCCTGTTAATCTGATTGGTCTAAAGGCAAAATTAAGGCTTCATCAACCAATCCAAAGACTGTTTTAGGTAAATATAATTCAAGATATTTCTAAGTAAATAATATTTTGCAACATTTTTTCTCATAAAAATGTTCAAAGAAATGGAAAATTTGTGACTGGATGTTCTTCTTTTGGTGACTACTTTGATTCTTGATTAATGAGCACTTGTTGAAATTCTTCACTGAAAAAATAATTTTTTTTTATTTCATTGTGGAATTAAAATTTATTTCGGAATGGACTTGAAAATTTACTAAGATGATAATACAGCATTTGAAAAGTGTTAAGGGTTTAATGGTAACAGTTATTTCGATTGAAATATATGAAAAAAGAAATTAATTTTTCACTGAATAATTTTGAAATAATAGTCAATGTAAAATTCTAATTAAACTTAGAAAAAGAAATCAAAATTAAAATCACCAAAATAAATAGAGTAGTATAAAATGAAAACAAGCGCAAAAGCAAATTTCAAGGCAGAGCTCATGAAAAAGTATGCAAAATTCCTTTTTTCAATTTTTTTCATAAAAAACAAAAGAGTTTTCTATATTAAAGCCATACAAAATTCAAAGCATTAAAGCAGTCTTAAAGCTTAATACACAAAGGGAGACAAGCGCTATATTTTTAACTTACAATAATTTTGATTTCCGAGTGTGATGAATATCAGAACTACAAACAATAATACAATTATTATTATTATAACACAAGAGATTGTCAAGAAGTTTTCTAAACTTTTTATATGTGTATCAGGGACACTGATAGCATCAATTTGCACCATTCCATTCTTCAATCAGACGTCTATGGTTCCTGCAATTCCACAAAATATGCTTTTTCACATAGAACCATCAAACCTTTAGTTTTAGAGAATTGCAGGAACCACAGACGTCTCATTGGAAATGCGGTATACAACCTAATCTTTCTGAATCGGTTTGAGGAATTGACAAAGAGAATATTCTCTGTGGTTAACTGACCTTAAATGGTTTGGAATGTATACTGGCCTCGCTGCGTACACTGTTGATAGACCGACTGGTGGAGATAGACGAAGTACTCATTCTGCTGGACATAGAACTAGCTTTTGACGAGCGACCTAAAATAGATAATATTCATTTAATTCATCAGATTTATGAGAGTTTTCTTCATACCATAGGTCAAAACTTTGACCTTTATTTTGATTATCCATTAGAGAGATTGTAAAGATGTTTTTTAAATTGTTTATGAGTCAGGGACACTGATAGCATCCATTTGCACCATTCCAATTTTCAGTCAGACATCTGTGGATATTTCATCTTACATAATTCCTGTGCATCACATTGACAACATTTACAAGATAAGCTTGTACACATATCGTAATAAAGAATATCTATAGCTGTATTTTTATTCAAATAGTCATGCACATACATAATAAATATAAAATAATAAAAAAAAATAATAAATAAATAAATAAATAAATAAATAAAATTAAATAATTAAATAAATAAATTGAATAAATTGAATAAAATAAATAAATAAATAAATAAATAAATAAATAAATAAATAAATAAATAAATAAATAAATAAATAAATAAATAATAAAAAAAAAATTAATAAAATAACAAATTTTTTTTTCATGGTATACGAATTAAAATGAGATCCCACCCAAGATCTTCAGTCTTATGAGTATGCAATTCTCTGAGGGAATTTAAAATGTACATCATGATACAGAAACAGACAAAAAAGCAAAAGACCATGCTCAAGCTCAAATTTTATAAAGAAGTATGGCTAAATAAATTACTTAGTTTGATTAACATGCAACTCAAGAAAGAGGGCAGTGAATTTGAATCAGTTTGAACAGGGATATACAAGACTCAAGCCATGCCAACTTTCAAAAACAACAATTGGTACCTGAATGCAGTCTGGAATATTTGGATTCTACAGAAAAAAACAGAAATTTTGGAGGACAAAAAACAGAAAATTTTACAGGGAAAAATTTTGCCAAATAAGAAGGAAAAATTTGAAGGGAAAAACGATCTACATTCATATTCTGGTAAAGAATCCAATCAAATTGAACTTCTCTCATCAACATTAAAGTGTCCAATACATCCAAACTCAAACTCCACGATGAATATGAGGGCTTTCTCACTCTCAATTTTTTTGTAATTTTTGACATAAAAACCCCACCCCAAATCCCCCGAAAAACAATGAACAACTTACCATTATCAAGAGGATTTTCAAGATACAGTGATAAATTATCTAAATCTGATTGAGTAAAATCTGCGTCTGTCGCAGCTTCGATTTCTTTTGGTTGTTTCTTCTCTGTGACGGATGTAGGAGGCGTTCCAGTAATGAAGCCTTCTGGGAAATATTTATACGCTACTCTTAAGCCTGTAGGAGATTAAAAAAAAAAACTTAAGCTTGTAGGAGAAAAAAAAAAACTTGATTACAGAAACCATGTAACCATTTACCAAATTTACAATTATACCCTGCATACAGTAGGCCTACTTATCATAGTGGATCTCAAATAAAAAAGAACTCATAAACTTAGAAGTTATTTTCAGAATTAGGAGTGGCAGAATTTTTAACAACGCGTAATTTTACCGCTTAAAGATTTTATCTTTACTACTTTACAAATGAAAGTATACACCAATATAAGTTATGTTTTGGAAAACAGTTTATGCCAATCCCTTATATCCCTAAGCCTTTAAAGTCTTAAACAATATTTTAGTAAATTATACAGTAAGGTTTAGGGCTGCAACGATTCCTAAAGTGGCGATCCGATACACTGAACGATACTCGTTCAACGATACTCGTTCAACGATACAATTTATTGCGATAATAAATCGCGATTCTTTGATTAAAAGGGAAAGAAAAAGAAAACTGATAATAAATAACATTTTAACACAGTCTAAATTATTTTGGCGCGCTTAGAAGTACAAAATTCACTTTTCATCATTTGTTACACACAAGGACTGACAAAAATAAATAAAATACCAAACCATCCAATACAGCTTCGTGGAATTATTTTATGACTATGCAAACACATATTACGTTGGAAAAGGAAAAAGTTTATATCAGATCCCATGCGTTTATCTTCCACTTGGCATATTCTCTTTTCATTGTTTATAACAAAATTAAAAATGCTGAAGACAAATTAATACGTGAAAAGCATTTTTTAACATTTGAACATGACACAATTTCTAAAATACGCGAGGATTCCGTGCTATTAGTCATTAAAGGGAGTTAATTATATTTATGAGAATCAGGCCGATGTATCGCGATTATTTTTTTCTTCCGCAATGCAACGATAAGAAGGAACGAATCCCGGTTCATCAATTCCATGGTGAATCGTTGCAGCCCTAGTAAGGTTCAATCACTAAGATTCAAGAATAATAAATAACCTACCTCCTGATAACATGAATAGATTATCATATCCTCTCTGTACTAGGGTAGTAGCTGCTCTAGGCGTTAGAGTTTCATCTTCATCATACAGTACTATTATTTTACCCTCTTGATTTTTCTAATGGTCGGGTTAAGGAATACAACTTTCTCATAATTTTTAGAAATTCATTTAAAAAAAAAACACATCAATTTAAATGATCAACCAATGAAATAACTGGAATATCTTAAGAAAAGAAATACAGCAATTTGATTCGTCCATTTTAAAGTTATAACTTTATCAACCAATCAGATGACAGTAAATTTTGCGAAAAATAATGCAAGGTGTTTCAGAAATTTTTTATTGAAAGAACACACTAAAAATGTTGACCAATGTGCAATCAATCAAATAACTGGAATATTTTAAGTAAAGAAATACAGCAATTTGATTTGTCCATTTTAAAGTTGTAACTTTATCAACCAATCAGATGACAGTAAATTTTGCGAAAAATAATGCAAGGTGTTTCAAAACTTTTTTTTTAAAAGAACACAGTAAAAATGATGACCAATGTGCAGAGTTTGGCGTTCTTGGATTAGGCAGTTCTTGGATTAGGCAGTTCTTGGATTAGGCAGTCTTGTAGAAGCATAGATGTATTAAATCCCATAGTTGATAAGTTTGTGAAAGGATACATAATTTAACATGTCTTTAGTTTCATAATTTACAGATCTAGCCAACATGGCCGTTGGATAACTTTTAGCTGAAATAAAATAAAATAAAGTTTATTTAAGATGACACATCAAATTACATGAAAATCCAAAACAGGCAAAGAGTTTAGACTTTTAGTTCTGTATAACATGACAGATGGGAGATAACCCTTGCAAAACTATTAGCAAAAAGGACTGGATATATCGTCTACTTCCTCCAAAACAGTAGACAACACAATCCAGTCTTAAATTAATCAGTGAAAGGTCTATCAAAGTAGGAATAGGGTACAGTGGAACTGACCACTTGAAAATCTCTTTTTGAACCCTTTGAACACTGAGTGTAAAAATCATAAAACATCATATACCTTTATCTCATAAAGTCTTATAGCTTATGTGATGTCACTTGATAACTGCTACATCACAGGCTTCTTGCGAAGATATATCACATACTTATGTGGTCAATTAGGTAACCCCTAGTGTTGAAAGGCTTAAAGATATTTTTGTCATTGCATTCAAATCCATAAATAAAATTCCACATACCTGATATTAAATGGCAGGCATCAAAAGCGTCTCGTTCTCTAACATCCAGTAATAAATAAGGTTTTTTATCTCCTAATGGCAGAGGTCTGGATGTTGGTTTAGGATGGTCTACATCTATTTCTCCTACACCTTTTATAACTCTAGAAAATTATGATTTAAAACTAAAAAGGTATATGATATATCGCTTATTATCTACAGCCTTTCTGTTGGGGACTCTGATTGGCTGTATTCGCTAGCGTACAATCCAATCAAATCATTGCATTTTCAAACTTCTGTGATACATGAAAGGTGGCTATTGCAGTCAAGGTATGAGCCGAAATTCGTAATAGCTTGGCATTGCGAAGATGAAGTTTGTAATAGCTTGACATTATGGAGATGAAATTCATCATAGCTTGACATTGTGAAGCTGGAAGTTTGTCATAGGTTGACATTGTGAAGATGATTTGATAAAGACTTACTGTTCTAGTCTAGATCTAGAAGAATCAGGGACAGTAGATGCTGAAGGGACTGTAGAAGGGGTATCTGTATGTGTATCAGTTCTGTCTGTAGTGACGTCTGTACTATTCTGTATTGTCTCCACCTCAATATCTGTAGTTGTCGGTCTATCAGTCATCATATCACCACATTCTGACAAATTTAAATAAAAAATAGAATTTTAACCAATAAGCCAGTTCAGAACTAAGAGTGTCCATGCATAACACCCTAATTCCCTTCTTTCGTAATTACCCAGAGGTGAGTTTTATCTAAAGGTGAGGTGTGCAAGTATAGTTACGAATCAGCCTTTTAAATCAACATTTTTCATATGAGAGGGGATGCCTGTGTTCATATATTATTCGTGTGTTCGTATTTACAAAACAAAACCTAAAGCTAAAGAAAATCATGTGACATCATCAACATTTATCATCTCTGTGTCTAATATGTTTAACTGCTACAGTGAAACACGGTAGAAACATGGAATAGTTTTGAACATGCTGTCGGGAAGATAAGTTAGATAAAGATAATAATTAAATCATAATTAATGAAGTTGATTAAAATTTTAACTTACCTGTGGGTAAATCATTAAGAAATGAATCAAACTCTGCTACTTGGACAATCTAGAAGTTAAAAAACACATGGAAATTAAACTTAATGGCCTTGACCTTCTCATATATTGACACTAATTTGATGACAGCATAATAGCTTAGTCGTTAACATGTTGGTTTGTCATCTACTAGGCCATTAGATGCCATGGGTTTGAACCCTCCTCCAGGTCAGAAAATTCAGCTTCAAGCCTAGTTGGAAATGTGGTTGAAGAACAAATTCATTGCTTACAAAAATTCTGAGAAACTGTGAGAAACATCTGAAGGAACTTACCAGTTGAACAAATGTGGCAACTTTCATCCGTTTGAAGATTTCATCTTTTCGGAACTTGTAATCTAAAAAAAAACGAAACTTACAGCAAAAACTACTCTTTACTATCTTTTAATAATTTTTAAAGGACCTTTACTTTAGAATTTTTATAGTTGACCATCTCAAAATATAAAAACAAAATAAATTTGTCCACTTACGTTTTTTGATTTCTTCCAATTTCTCTAAATATTTTGTTTGACTTTTTCCTGAAAAATGAAGATCACACAATTGAAATCTAAAAGGTTCTAGCCAAGAAATGAAAAGGAGTTATAGGTTCTACTTTTCAGCACCTGACTGGACTAATGAGGACTGACAATTCCATGCAGTGAGCAATAAGGGAAAGTTTGCCGGGTCAGCGAAATTGACATTGATAAAGTTATAGGCCTACAGGCATGCCGTAAAGTTAACTTACCTGTATCGATAGTTGACTTGACATCTTTATATTTAGGATTTACTGGAACTTTCTTGGACAGGGGCTGAATCAGATAGAGAGCATTTCAAAGCAAACTTTTAATTTTCCCTCTTGTCCAACTTAGACTATTGACAGCACAATTGATCAGTGAGGGTGGGTTAAATGACTACTTCTAATTCTTTAGTCTTATGTTATAAGCATTATTAGGAGACAAGTCTCAATGAAAGCAGGACACAGAGCTATGGATAAGATCATTTCATTTATTAAGTGAAAATTGCCATTAGATGTTCTTAGAGCTTAACTCATATATGATCCTATAGCTACATTCAACTGCTAAATATAAATGTTCAAATATGGTCAATCTGTGCTGTTCAGCGCCATCCATATGGCTGACAACCGGTGCTGTGTCGAAGCCGTGGGGATGGGGGATAGTCCAAATCCAATTTCCCACCTATCTCTAAAAGCCATTACATCCGATCTTCATGGAACAGCAGTAAGAGGCGATGTTCTGCATGAAAATGGCTTTCATATTGAATAAATCAAGGATGGAATCTACTTACATCGATCTTTTTAGTTTTTGAAGACATTCTTTCTGGAGTTGTTTTCATTCGCAACCTTGTTGATGTGTCTGCGCAAGTTTTGTAGTGACAGTGGCGAGTTCCTGTTTCAGATTGAGTTATGTCCCTTTATATCAGCTGATGGCAGGCAGGGTGAAAGAGTTGAGCTGATTGCTGAACGAAATAACTGCGAATTGGTGATTGTTTTTACATGACAACCGTCTAATTAGGATTAATTAGTGTCCTACTTGCCCGAGTTGTCAGGAAATTAGCTGTGATTGGATTAAAACTGTGTAATTACTTTAATTGGCTAATCCTTTCATATCAGATTTTTGCTTTGGCGTTTTCTTAATGCATTTCTATTGCTCACCACACTGTTTTCAGAATCTGTGAGTCTTAGATTGTCTTTGGGTTGGTGAAAATACCAACCAATACAATTTTCAGTGCAAATGTGGGTCTTCATTGAAAATTTCTGGGAGGGAAGTGTGTTTATTTAATAAATGTAAAATTACCAAAAACCTACATAACTTTGGACCCATAACATGACAAATAGCACTAGCAGGCAATTGAAATTTTATTTGAAACTTTTTTGAAATGACAGAGTATTCCAATTGTTTCTTCCAGATAGAACCACCTCCAATATTCTGAATTAAGTGTGATTGGAGATAATGATTAGCCTACTGACCTAATGTGGCCCAGATACTTAGTGCACTTAGGTCTCCAATCAATAAATTCTTTCAATAATTTCTTTTAGCTATTTCATTATAGTAATGCTAAACTAGGCAATTTTTTCCCATATTCATTTATGTTTGAGCACATATGGTGGTGACCCAATAAAAAGGAGTAATATGTAACTTTGTAAGTAAGCAGATCTAAAAGGGGATAAATGCATGGAAATTAACTTCATGTACTACGGGGTGAGAGCAAACAAAATGCCGACTCTCCAAAGCACAGGCATCAGAAGTTTTCTTACCTTGAGTAAGATTCGAACCCACGACACCTAATAGCTAGCAGACGACAATCCAACTCACTGCCTACTGAGCAATTCTACAGTCAATCTGAAACTTAAGGCCTTTATAATAATGACATCATAAAGTGCAAAGGTTTATGTAAGGATTTTTTCTACTTTTTTCAGAAATGTAACTAGTAGCAACATTCCAAAATGGTGTCCACATTTGTAGCGCTGATATTGGCCATATTTATTGGTATTTTTATATGTTACCCCCCACCCCCCCTGACGAAAAATCTGGAAAAATGGCAAAACGAAGGCGACTATGTAATTTATGAAAATAAAATCATTTTTTATAAAGGTAACTATGAGATATTAAAGGGAATGTAAAGAATTTTTCAAGCTTTCGGGGTCATTTATGGCTTCTATTTGAATCTTTTCAATTTTCAGTCACATGTCTTTGGTTCTTGTGATTATAGAAATGCTTACTGTTTATGTAGTATCTCAAGACATACAGATGTCTGACTTAAGAAATGGAGCAAACTAATTCCATTAGGGGCATGCTAATAATTCTAGAATATAACGAATAGTCCCTTTTTAATTCCCAATTCCTACATGGATAATAAGAGAGTTTTTATCAGGAAAATGCTTCAATGTGTCTTATTGTAAGACCGAAGATTTGAAATGAGAAAATCTGTAGCTAATTTGTACAATTGAATATTAGTTTTTTCACCAGATATACCAGGTAAAGGTGAAGGTAGTGTTTTATGTTTACATGGTTTTCCTTCTTCAAGCTATGATTGGGTCAAGGTTGGTAAATTTCCACTTTAGATATGCTCCTTTCGATACTTCTTGTAAACACTGCGTTCACAGGGTTGTGAATTTGCGTTCGATATTGATTTTCTCTGGTAATTACTACCTTGATTCCAGTGAACTGTACACCCCATGTTTTGTGTTGGTAGATTTATAGGGAAGCCAACCTGAGAGATATCTGATAAAAAATATTTAGATTTTTATTTAAATTTAGACACTAGCTCACTTATGTTTGATCTGCATTATATTGTAGATGAACTATATTTTGCATTTTGATATTAAAGAGAAATACAGATAGCTTCACTGTTTCTATCATGTCTGGTAAATTATGACTGTTTTATATGAACACAATTTTATTCTAGATTATAACAGGTTTGAAGAACAATTTAAGACAATTGCATATGAACTATACTTGGCATTTTTTATATTGAATAGTGTTACCGATAGTTGGAATTGAGTTTTAGCATGCCCAGTAAAAATCCAATTTTTTGAAAATATTTTTATTGCAGATTGTAGAAGATTTGAAGAATAATTTTAAAAATGTTATTGTGTTTGATTTTCTTGGGTTTGGTTTCAGTGAAAAACCAGTAAGTTTAGATTTCTTTATTTGAGATATTAAACTTCTCAAAATGTTTGTTGTAAATCATTTAGCAGTTAAATCAAATCATACTTGAAAAAACAATAGCTTACATTAAAGGGATTGTATAGAGGTTTTTTGAGTGCTTTATGTGTATCAGGGACACTGAAAGCATCAATTTGCACTATTCCAATTTGCAATCTTATTTTTCGTGGAATTGCAGACACCCAGACGTCCCTATGGTATATATTTTAGATAGGTTATAACTATACTATAACAGAACAGGCTGATATCAGTTTATATTTAACCCTATGCTATATATTTTAGATAGGTTATAACTATACTATAACAGAACAGGCTGATATCAGTTTATATTTAACCCTATGCTATATATTTTAGATAGGTTATAACTATACTATAACAGAACAGGCTGATATCAGTTTATATTTAACCCTATGCTATATATTTTAGATAGGTTATAACTATACTATAACAGAACAGGCTGATATCAGTTTATATTTAACCCTATGTTATATATTTTAGATAGGTTATAACTATACAATAACAGAACGGGCTGATATCAGTTTATATGTAACCCTATGCTATATATTTCAGATAGGTTATAACTATACTATAACAGAACAGGCTGATATCAGTTTATATTTAACCATATGTTATATATTTTAGATAGGTTATAACTATACTATAACAGAACAGGCTGATATCAGTTTATATTTAACCCTATGCTATATATTTTAGATAGGTTATATATAACTATACTATAACAGAACAGGCTGATATCAGTTTATATTTAACCCTATTCTATATATTTTAGATAGGTTATAACTATACTATAACAGAACAGGCTGATATCAGTTTTTATTTAACCCTATGCTATATATTTTAGATAGGTTATAACTATACTATAACAGAACAGGCTGATATCAGTTTTTATTTAACCCTATGCTATATATTTTAGATAGGTTATAACTATACTATAACAGAACAGGCTGATATCAGTTTTTATTTAACCCTATGCTATATATTTTAGATAGGTTATAACTATACTATAACAGAACAGGCTGATATCAGTTTATATTTAACCCTATGCTATATATTTTAGATAGGTTATAACTATACTATAACAGAACAGGCTGATATCAGTTTATATTTAACCCTATGTTATATATTTTAGATAGGTTATAACTATACTATAACAGAACAGGCTGATATCAGTTTATATTTAACCCTATGCTATATATTTTAGATAGGTTATAATTATACTATAACAGAACAGGCTGATATCAGTTTATATCTACTACAACACTTACAAGTACATAAAGTTCATCTATTATCTCATGATTATGGTGATACAGTAGCATTAGAAATATTAGCTAGGTTGGTCATTTTCTTATCATTTGTTTACTTTTATATCCTAAATTCACTTACTTTGCTTATGAGTTCAAAGCCCAATTTTGTACATTCTTAATAAAACTGTCCTGATGAGGATTGTATATCTGAAACATGCAATCAATTGAATAAAACTGTTTTAGTTTCAATTTTCCAAACTTGTTTCATAACTTTAATAATCAAAATGGAATATTATGTTTTTGTTGAATTACATGAGAATCTGACTGTAGATCTTGATTTAAAAAGTGACATGCATGGTCAAAATTGAGCTCTCTCAGCTGGTAAAGCAAATACCTTGGTGACTTCATCCCTTTAAACTTGTATTTTATATTACAGACAGAAGAAAAATGAAATAAAAGGAGTTACAATTAAATCTTTAAGTATGTTGAATGGAGGTGAGAATATTTGCAACATAAAAAATTTTTGTATTTTCAATGAGTCTAGCCTTTTATGATTGTTTAAGGCCCTTGTTCCCAACCTGGGATGTTTTGTGATTAGTGGCATTGTCAAACACTTAGTTTAGGTTGAATTACAGGAACCATAGGCGTCTTTGTCATAGTCAAATTGTTTCTTATTTCTTTCAGGTATATTTCAAGATACCCATCACCCACGATTTCTTCAAAAGGTAGATTTTCTTCACTCATAACTCAGTCGACCCAGCTGAAAATGGGTATGGATAATCCAAGAAAGATCAATGTTAAGAGGTTTGGCCAAGGACTAGCTTGCAGACTGTATCCTTGTGAACCCAAGTTGTTATCCTTGTAGAATCATAACAAGGGGTTTGGTCAAGGACCAGCTGGTAGAAAGGACTCTAATTTTTGAACTTAAGTTGTTATCCTTGTAGAATCATAACAAGGGGTTTGGTCAAGGACCAACTGGTAGAAAGGATTCTAATTTTTTAACCCAAGTTGTTATCCTTGTAGAATCATAACAAGGGGTTTGGTCAAGGACCAACTGGTAGAAAGGATTCTAATTTTTGAACATAAGTTGTTATCCTTGTAGAAAATGGCTGTGTTTTTTTTCTTTCAATTGTATTTTTTAGGTTTTATTGTATCCGGTTTTAGGAAGGTTTTTATCCAAGTTTGTTTTTTATAATATATTTAGTATAGGGTAAGTGTTATTCATAATTTTCCTTGTTATTTAATAACAGTATTTATCAAATGAGTTCTCTAATATTATTGAATGTGCCTTGGCAATGTTGAATATATTAAGAAACAACATTGACAAAATCTTATATCTATAATTAACATCATTGGGTGTAAATAAATTTGAATGTCTTTGAGTGGTTAATTATTGTTCAAATATGATTGAATTCACAGGCTTTAAACGACAAAATCTTTCAAAATTATGCAGTATGTATGGATTTTTATTAATAGGTTTTCCGAGGTGTTTGGGACCAATAAACCTACAGCTGATGAAATGTGGGAATTTTGGGTTTGTTTAAGATATAAAGATGGTACTGGTGTTTTAGCAGAGTAAGTATACATACCACTGGTCAAAATTTTCTTCCTTATTCCAGTTGGTCCAGCTTTAACTAGGTATGAATAAACTGGAAAATATCAATGTTCAGAGGTTTTGCCAAGGATCAGCTGGTAGACAGGATCATTGAGAACCATTATCTGAAGATCAATGCCAAGATGTTTGTCTAAGAACCAAGTGATAGACAGGATCTTCAAGGACTGAGTCCAAGGTTCTCTGTGCTTTTATCACTTTTCCAAGATGTGTGAACAAAATTCAGCTGATAGACGGGATCCAAGAGAAATTGATTTGCTTCTATCAAACCTTTTATTTTCAGTGTGATCAATTTCTTACCAGAAAGAAAGAAATATAATGAAAGATGGGTCGGTGCTTTAAAATCTATAGATATTCCAGGTAATATCAGGCCTGTTACCAGCCCAATGTGCCAAGGGGGAGAGGGGGGGGGGGAAGGAGCTGAAAGAGACTGATTATATGTGAAGCTATTATGATCTTTGTACCAATACCTTGATTTCTACAGGTACTTTTCTTGTATCATGTTAGTTTGTAAGTGCAACGATTTGATTGGATTGTGTTCTAGCGAATATGGCCAATCAGAGCCTTAGATTTAGACAGCCATATTGTTTACCATCCTTCTGTCGAGGACTTTTAGTGGCTGTATTTGCTAGTGTACAATCCAATCAAATCGTTGCATTAACAAACTTATGTGATACAAGTAAGGCGGATAATGCAGTCAAGGTATAAGATGAAGTTTGTCATAAACTGCTGATAAACATAAACTTTGGACACAAAATAGTAGGTCATTAGGTCAAAGATCATGAAGATATTATGATTTATTATTTGTTTCAGTTCAAATGATCTATGGACCAGCAGATCCTGTCAACCCTTCACCCCAATTTAATCAGGTTTTTAAGTAAGTGTCCCTACTGTATTTTAACAAGTAGAGATCTTCAGACAACTGATCTATTTCAGCCTGTGTCTCTACTGTATTTTGGCAAGTAGAGATCTTCAGACAACTGATCTATTTCAGCATGTGTCCCTACTGAAGTTTGACAAGTAGAGATCTTCAGACAACTGATCTATTTCAGCCTGTGTCTCTACTGAAGTTTTAAGTCTAATGTTTTGTTTTAAATTATAGAAAATTGGTACCTCAACACAAGTTGGTGGAATTAGACAGTAAAATTGGACATTATCCTCAATGGGAAGATCCAGCTCGTGTTGCTGCAGAATTTATCAAATTTGTACAATCTGTTCCAAACTAATTATTCTTATATCTTGTTATGTTTTTATCTATTAAATTTTTACAAAAACGAAATATTTTCTCTGTTTAGTGTTCAAAACATCAATTGAAGAGAGATATAGAAATACCACTGTTAAAATAGCGCTCAATACATCAATTGTAGAGTCATATAGAAATACCACTGTTAAAATAGTGATCAATACATCAATTGTAGAGAGATATAGAAATATTAAAACAGAACCTGAAACATGGTGTGGTGATTACTACTTATACTACGTCCAAATAAAGTGGACTACTTGTGTTTTTAATTGGACACAAATGGATATAAATATCTTTGCTCAACTTCAAAAGACAGAAAAATAAAAATTCTAAGAAAATTTTTTATTTTCTTTGGTATAAACTGAAAAAAAAAAATTTACATTCAAAAAGGACTAGATCACACACAAAAAACAAAATTAGCACTTCAGAATGAGACACTTATTTAGACCAGTCCACTTTATTTTGAGGTAGATAAGGTAGAATAATCACAATATAATTCTGCCTCATACAGTTTCAATTACTATCTATTCTACCCCAAAATAAAATAGACTCATCTTGTTTGCCAATATCCAATGAATATTCAATTAGGTTAAATATCAAAACAAAATAAAATCACTGACAAAAGGACGGATCTTTCATAAAAAAAACTTCAATATGTTCACCATTATTTTTTCACAGACATGTTTGATTCAAGCTAGTTTTAATGACTAAGCTAATACTGTATTTTCATAGATACATATTTCCCTAAAGTGTTCTTCCATTCTACCAGTCTTGGAACACCGTTGGCTCACGATAAAATATTTTCACTCTGTTGCTATTTTTAGTGTCTATTTCGGCCCAAAAATATGCCTTCAATCCCATAAAACCATCTTTTTTGATTTTATCTGTTATCACTTTAAAAGCTGAAAGAGAAATGGATTCTTAATAAAAATTAGACTGTCATCATTCTGCCTGTGATCTCTTTATTTCATCGTAGATGAACTAGAAGTAATATTTTCAAATTGAAAAGGAGATACAGATAGTTATAATTAAGCTCTATTAGCTTTTTAAGTGAATAATTGGAAGGCTTAATCCTTAAATTTGATCCAAGATCAGTTAACTGATTGGTCAATAATGCCAGTTTAAAATCATTGACCAATCAGATGACTGAACCAGACTGAAGTAAGTGGCCCCTGACCTCACCTACCTCTATCTTGGTTAATAGGATTAAGTAAATGTAAGAAAGCTTTATTTCTGTTATAAACCATACAGCCACCGTCAATAGCTTGAGACATTATATCTATAATAGATTGTGGTCAATTAGGCGATGAAATAAAACTAAATGAAATGAGAGGAAAGAGTAAGATACGATATAGACGAAATACGAATGTAATTGAGCCTCAATTATTGAGGTAATATGACATGAAACATAATGAAATGATATGAAATTGAAATAATATAAAACAAAATGATATATGGAGTGAAGTGAAACGATAATGCAAAGTGATATGAAAGAAAGCAAATGAAAAGAATATGTAATATGAAATGAAATGATATAGAAACAAGGCGAAATAATATGAAACAAATTACTCTCTTCCTATACTCAAATCCACTGTTCAAGACTTAATCCAGAAAGTTCACCAAGAAGCAAGCAATAGGCCAAAATGTGTCTATTTATAAGTTGACAATAACTCGACTCACTCAAAGGAAGTTGGACTTTTACGATAAACTTCTTCTTGGATAATTTTCGTAGATCACTGGAGCTAGGCGGTTTCATTATGGTGGACGTTAACACATAACCTAGAGATGAAATGATATCAAAATTAAATATGAAATTTGAAATGGTAGTTTGAGTCAAAAACGTTCTTATTTTAAAGAGGTGGAAATACACTACTTGCTCCAAACCTTGATCTTTCCTGGATTATCCATACCCATTTATTGCTGGGTCAAAAGGAATTATGAGTGAAGATGAGATCTGTAAAGAACCAACGCTCTGGTTTTAGACCTGTTAAAGAAGCACCAACCTGAACAGAGTTGTTTGTGGCCGTATTTCCAGTCTAATTTCTGACACTCTTTACTACAATAATGCACAGTCTTACATCCTGTACATAGTTTCAGATTATTGCCCTTGTCTCCTTTCTTATTACAGTGAGCACATCTTACATTACTAGCAGCTACAATATAAACATTATAATATTGAGGAGTTATTGCCCTTGTCTCTTTTCTTATTACAGTGGGCACATCTTACATTACTGACAGCTACAATATAAACATTATAATATTGAGGAGTTATTGCCCTTGTCTCTTTTCTTATTACAGTGAGCATATCTTACATTACTAACAGCTACAATATAAACATTATAATGTTGAGGAGTTATTGCCCTTGTCTCTTTTCTTATTACAGTGAGCACATCTTACATTACTAGCAGCTACAATATAAACATTATAATATTGAGGAGTTATTGCCCTTGTCTCCTTTCTTATTACAGTGGGCACATCTTACATTACTGACAGCTACAATATAAACATTATAATGTTGAGGAGTTATTGCCCTTGTCTCTTTTCTTATTACAGTGAGCATATCTTACATTACTAGCAGCTACAATATAAACATTATAATATTGAGGAGTTATTGCCCTTGTCTTATTACAGTGAGCACATCTTACATTACTAGCAGCTACAATATAAACATTATAATATTGAGGAGTTATTGCCCTTGTCTCCTTTCTTATTACAGTGAGCATATCTTACATTACTAGCAGCTACAATATAAACATTATAATATTGAGGAGTTATTGCCCTTGTCTCCTTTCTTATTACAGTGGGCACATCTTACATTACTGACAGCTACAATATAAACATTATAATATTGAGGAGTTATTGCCCTTGTCTTCTTTCTCCTTCTTTATCAAGTGTTCAAGTGTCAATGAATCAAAAGACTTACTAGCTAAAAGTGTTATTAATTCTGTATGATCTTTGTCCTCTGCTATATCTAATGCTGTTTTACCTCTCTTATTCTTCATAGCAGGGTCTACACCATATTTCAATAATAACTGAACACAATCTAAAAATCAAGATTCAATGAAAATTTTTAATCCTGAAAAGCGATGCTACAGGCTTATTTTCAGCTTAATAATACTACTGGTCACGTATTCTCGAAACAATCTTAGCGCTAGGATGTCTTAGGTTCTTATCTTCTAACATTGATTCTAGGACATCCTAGCGCTAAGATCGTTTCAAGAATAAATGGCCAGGCTTATTTTGAGCTTCATAACTTAAAAATAGCTGAGCAAAATGCGAAAATTATCACCAAGAGATAAATATTCTTTTAGAATGTTAATATTAACAGCTTTATATCTTACTGTTCCATATCTTATTGTGACAATGAAGTCAAGAATTCTTATGCAGTGTGCAATGAAGGGCATTTGTGGCATTTACCTGCTTTACGATATATATCTTCAGCCGAAGAATTTTTTTATTGGTTGATTTTAAGTTGCATCTCCCCAAACTAATGTAACTTACGTATGTCGCCAGCATGGACTGCAGAATGTAAAGCTGTATTCCCCCAATTATTTACTGTATTAATTTTTGCACCATTCTTCAATAAAACCTCACCCACAGCTGAACTTGCATAGCGTCCTGGAAAAGAATCCAACAAGAATTTTACTGATGAAGTCACCACGGAGGTTGGCCCCTTTAAATGATTGAAATTTTTAATAAAATAGAAGTGTATTTACCCACTGCTAATATTAAAGGGGTGCAGCCACATTCATCTTTAACATTTGCATCAGCCTCTTTTCTTAATATCAAATCTACACATTTCACCTAAACGTAGAAAAAAAACAGAATCAGAAGAGAGGGAATATAAAACAGTGGCAGATGTGTAAAAAAAAATAACCATCCCAAAACCCAAAAATGAGAATTTTAACACTTACATTGTTTTGAGCAACTGCAAAATGTAAAGCAGTAGAACCATTGGAGTCTTGTTCATTAATATTTATAACGTTATTCTAGAATTAATATAAAATATTCATAAATAAATATCTGATTTGACACTCCAAGTCCCTGTTTCCCAAATAATTGGACGAGAAAACTTGGTAATTTAATTTTGAAGATAAGATAAGAACTTAAATTCTCAAAATTCACCTCGGGCTATTTCAAATCTGTTGTCTTCTAGAAGACCTCTGGCAGCCCTCAGACCCCTCGCATAAAGGTATACTGAGGCCCCCAGTGTGCTACAGGCTGTGCACGTTAAAGATCCCTCAACAGTTGGAAATCGAAAAAAAGAGCAGGCTAATTCTGCTGTTCTGGCAAAATTTCCCTCATCGCACCCTGCATGGCGTTGCCCGTCTTCATTAGCCCACATGGTGCTGAAAAGTAGGACATAAAACTCCATTCATTTCATTTCTTGGCATCAAGGGGCTTTAGCCCTTTGGCCCTTGCACCGGAGAGATTTTTGGCCCCTCTTCAGGTATTTCTTAGATGCGCCCCTGGACACAGGGTAGAACTGAGAAAACTAAAGGGAGACAATAACCAACTTACATCTAGATATTCTTCAAAATATTCAAACTTTCCTCTTTCACAAGCTAATAAAACCTGGCTACACATGGCAGTTTCGGGGTTGTGTACCATCATGTTCTTTGAATCAAATCCAGCCATGTTGAAAGTTGTTTAATAAAATCCTTAAAAATGATACATTTATATTCGTTTAATTTACAAAGTGCCAGTTCAGTTCTCAACTCAAACCTACTTTGAACAATCTATCATATGTATGCCTATTAGGACTGTTGCACTTCCATTGAATTGGGCCGTATGATTGAATCTTCACAATGTCAACATGCTATCATGAACTTTTATACCTTGACTGCAATAACCACCTTTCTTTTATCATGGAAGTTTGTAAATGAAGCATTTTTATTGGATTGTACGTTGGGCGAATACAGCCAATCAGAGGCTTTGACAGAATGTTTAGTCTTTCTGTATTCGCCAACATACAATCCAATAAAATCGCTTCAACTTCAAGAATAGTGGCTTCTGCAGTCAAGGTATAAGCACAAAGTTCGTAATAGCTTGACATCGTGATGATGTATGATTGGGACCTGGGGCTGGGGTTCATTCATTTCATAATCCAGCAGGACAAGCCAAGCAAAAACCCATCCAAGTTAACAATGTCAATAAAAACAACTTAACAAGGCCAATCGTGAACCATTCATGCCATGCAATGCCAGAGAGGAGCCTTGTCACTTTTTTCAGGCTTGTGAACATGATCAGTTGCATGCTCTAGAAGATTACATCCTAAAACGTACAATAATTTCAAGACCAGCTTCACTTTAATTGAGTGAAAGAAAAAAATTTTTTTTTTTACTTCTCGGCAATTCTAATCTGCCGCCATTGTCAATAATAATAGTCTCGATTAAATGTATATAATAAATTTATGTATCTGTGACAACCGAGACTCATTTCAAGACGTTTCGTTACTTAATGCTGCGAAATAACCCACGCGGAAGTAACGAATAGTCTCGACAATTATTTCCGCTGGATAATCGAAAGTCATTTATGAAGTTTTGGTAAGTAATAATATCCTTTTTTCCAAATAATTAGTTAAAATTCAAATTGTGCAAATTTGTTGGTTGGAATTTATGCTTGGCAGTGTCCAAATTTACGTTTCTTTGAGCTGTCAAATTTTTTGAAAGGGAAGGAAACAAACTTTTGGGGTACGGATGGATGAGTAACAATTTTATACTGGTTATCCAGTCCCTCGAATTCCACACCCTAATTACTAATACTTTAATTAGACCCACATTCTTCTTCCGCGATTCCAGCCTTTTTAGTTGTAAGTTTTTAAATTCTTTTGATCTGGTTGTATTGCTCTATGCTTCACACCCACTGGCCTGTTGTTTGCCTTCTCACTGATAATGAAGCTGTAAGTTACTGTACCGTATCGTACCGTAGTATAAGTGAAACTTTTGACAGAAAGGTCACTAGTAGGGTCCTTGTGATTTATAATACTCTCTGGCTCTTTTATAGATCCTTGCTTTCAGTTGTCAACCTGAACAGTTTTTAGAAAATGTTTTGAAAAATATTTTGAATTGGCTTTATAATTGATGATATAGTTTTGGTCATGGAAACACCAATATGTGAGCTATGACGCAAATGCAGGGCCTGGGTAGTGTAATTCTTATCAAACCAAAATTCATATCCTTTTTATTTTTGAATATCTCATCAACATTTTTTTGTGATATTTCAGGTCAAATACTATAGATGTAGCACCTATACCAATGTGAGTGAACGAGAGTTCGATAAAAATGGGCGTTCAAGAAAAAACATTCCTGTTGTTAACAGTGTTATCAATTTGTAAATATGCCTGGACCAGTAACTTCATGACAGTAAAAACAATAGGCGATTCGAACACCATACTTCAGAAAATCCGGCAATACAATGAATCAAACGATTTGTATGTTGGAGGTCCGAATAAGTTATTCCAACTGTCGGCTGATCTTGAGGTTTTGTTTGAAGTCGTGACGGGACCAACTAATGATAATCGTCATTGCTTACCAGAGCCAGACGTGTGTGAAGACTACGAGCGGAAGCCCACTGCCAACAATATCAGCGTCTTGGAGATAGATCATTCCAAGAAAAAGTTGTTAGTCTGTGGAACTGGAGCACAAGGGTTATGTCATATGCACAGTTTAGTCAACATTACCAAAAAACAGACTATGGTACACGATGCCATCACAAATTTTGTTGGAAGCGGAACATCAAGTGAAGTGTTCTTCAAAGTATCGAACAACGAAAATTTTTTATATGTGATGCAAAGCTACGATGATCGTAGTTTGGATTATTCCCCTTTGTTTCTGTCAACAAGGAGGATAACTCAGTTACCACAAGGTCGAGGGTATAACATAACCTACAAGGAATACGATGCGGAGAGCGAGGTATTTTCGGGACTTGATATAGACATAGATCTAAAACCAACCTATTACATGAAAGCATTACTGTCGTTTAGTTACAAAGAACATGGCTTTTTCTTGATGGAGCAACAAAAATTGGAGGGTAACCCAAACCAATTTGTGATAAAACTGGGACGCATTTGTTTTGATGATCCTGTCTACTATTCGTACACAGAAATTGAACTTCAATGCAACTATGGCATTCCAGTTTACAGATATAACGTTGTGACAACGGCACTCGTCGAAGGCAAGTTCCTTTATTACGCTGCAGGGCGAGCTTCCAAAGATTCTCGAGATTACAATCCTGATTCTGGCTCAGCTCTATGTGTGTTCAATCTCGACGAACTAAATTCATACATTGAAGAAAAGTCAATACTTTGTTACGAAAATGGAGAAGGGTATCGTCCATTTTGGATTTTTAATCGAGACAAGTCTGTGAGGAAGTGTAAACAGCAAGAACTCATCGTAAGAAATTTTTCTTTAACCCAAACCTTTTCCCTGCCGTAATCAGCCCTAACCCAAATTCTTATGCCTGTGCCAGTGTTTTTTCGAGAGTCCATCTGGTGTCAGCTTTCACCCCTTAATATCTAACCCTTCCTATTCCAAACTCAGTCCCTACCATTGGGCTTGCGACTATGATTCTTCCAAAGTGTTGCCTCATTTTGAATTCAACTTTTCTTCCATTGAGTCTGTCTGCCCCTTATTTGTACTCGCTGCCACTCTATAATCCAAGTTTTGAAATAGCCTGTATTTTCTATGATACATTTTGTCTTGCAGGTAAAAAATATCCAAGAGAACACATTTGCTTTTTGCGGCACCAGTTATAATAGAGGTATTGAAATAGAGAAACCGTTTTATCAGAATAAAGCCATTTATGGAAACGAACAAATTATAATTACGGCCATTCAGCCAGTCGTACAAAATGGCCTTGATTACATCATCATTGGGACAAAAGATGGTCATGTTATGAAGGTTTGTTTTTGTCCTTCGTCATTTAAACTGTTATCCCTTATCAATAAACAGACCTTGATTCTCTTTATCCAAATAGCTTTGTTTCCAGTAAATGCAAGTGGTTGCCAGTGTGACCTTGTGCTCTCATGATCAACCAATCTTATACCTTGACTGCAATATTCTTAAATCATGAAATACAGTGATTTGATTACACATTATGGCTTATTTTCAAAGACTATCTATGTGCTACCATACAATCCAATCATTGCAAATGTGTCCTAATTTGCACACCTCAAGGCATTACCAGCCTTCTCTAGCTCAATAAGATACAGAGCAGTAGGATGTAAAAGTCTATTCCATTTCATTAGTCCAATAAGATACAGAACAGTAGGATATAAAACTCCATTTCATTTCATTTGTTCAATAAGATACAGAACAGTAGGATATAAAACTCCATTTCATTTCATTAGTTCAATAAGATACAGAACAGTAGGATATAAAACTCTATTTCATTTCATTAGTTCAATAAGATACAGAACAGTAGGATATAAAACTCCATTTCATTTCATTAGTCCAATAAGATACAGAACAGTAGGATATAAAACTCCATTTCATTTCATTAGTTCAATAAGATACAGAACAATAGGATATAAAACTCCATTTCATTTCATTAGTCCAATAAGATACAGAACAGTAGGATATAAAACTTCATTAATTTGAGCTTGTTATCCGTTCTTGTAGATTATAGAAAACATGGAAAGAATGAAATATAAAGAGTTTTTGAACGTCAAAATCAGTAATTCTAGTATCAGTTCTAGTTTGATTCTTAACAGCAATAAACTATATTTGCTCTCTGGAAACAAGGTAAGCTCACACATGGACACCTGATACCACTTCTCATTATGAAATACTTTCTCACTTATGATTGATATACTTCCTTGAATGATTTTGTTTTAGCGCTTGATATACTTTCTTGAGTGATTTTGTTTTAGCGCTTGATATACTTCCTCATGTGAGTGCATATGACCCCAGGCAAGGTATGGTTACTCTTCTAGACACCTGATACCACTTTTCATTATGAAATACTTCCTTATATATGATTGATTTACTTCCTCATATGAAAAGTTCAGCAGCTTCCAATAATTATTGTGTTCTGTGGCACACATGGTTAGAGCATCTTTATATGTTGTCATTTGCTCAGTTACATCAAATAAATGGTAGTTGTGGGTTCTAATCTTGGTCAGCATTTGCAAGTCTTCATTCATTATTCCAGTCAACCCAGCTGTAAATGAGAACAGTTGTTATCCTTTTAATATATAAGATTGGAAAAAGTTGAGGTTTGTCCTTGTGATAATATTATAATATTTACAGGTTATAAAATTTCTGATAGATACATGTAGCGTTCATCAAGATTGTGACTCTTGTTTATCGAGTCGTGACCCCCTGGGCTGTGGCTGGTGTAAAGATCAGTGTTTGACAGCCACGAATTGTATGAAGATTGGTGGTGAGAGCAACAGGAATAAATGTCCGCCTTCTTTATATTCGGTAGGTAGAACATAGCAAGTTTGAATCTTATCGCGGAATACAGTGTACCTAGTCCCTGAAGCATTCTGGAGAGCTTGCTCTGAAACTTATCAATGATTATCTAGTCCCTGAAGCATTCTTGAGAGCTTGCTCTGAAACTTATCAATGATTATCTAGTCCCTGAAGCATTCTGGAGAGCTTGCTCTGAAACTTATCAATGATTATCTAGTCCCTGAAGCATTCTTGAGAGCTTGCTCTGAAACTTATCAATGATTATCTAGTCCCTGAAGCATTCTGGAGAGCTTGCTCTGAAACTTATCAATGATTATCTAGTCCCTGAAGCATTCTTGAGAGCTTGCTCTGAAACTTATCAATGATTATCTAGTCCCTGAAGCATTCTGGAGAGCTTGCTCTGAAACTTATCAATGATTATCTAGTCCCTGAAGCATTCTTGAGAGCTTGCTCTGAAACTTATCAATGATTATCTAGTCCCTGAAGCATTCTTGAGAGCTTGCTCTGAAACTTATCAATGATTATCTAGTCCCTGAAGCATTCTGGAGAGCTTGCTCTGAAACTTATCAATGATTATCTAGTCCCTGAAGCATTCTGGAGAGCTTGCTCTGAAACTTATCAATGATTATCTAGTCCCTGAAGCATTCTGGAGAGCTTGCTCTGAAACATATCAATGATTATCTAGTCCCTGAAGCATTCTGGAGAGCTTGCTCTGAAACATATCAATGATTATCTAGTCCCTGAAGCATTCTGGAGAGCTTGCTCTGAAACTTATCAATGATTATCTAGTCCCTGAAGCATTCTGGAGAGCTTGCTCTGAAACATATCAATGATTATCTAGTCCCTGAAGCATTCTGGAGAGCTTGCTCTGAAACATATCAATGATTATCTAGTCCCTGATAGCTATTGTTGACAGTTGTTGGCTGGAAACCGTGCAATTGTCTCAATTGTACCAAGGTTGTGTACTGTTATCGTCCATTTCAACCAATCACAGCGCATAATGCGGAATATGTGTCTAAATATCAACAATGAATTGTGGGATAGCAAAACCCAAAGTAGAGGGATATGACTTAAAAACGCGAAACGTGCTTTCTGTATCACTATCACAATGGAAAACTGATTTCTGGTTTGTCTGCGATCAAAACCATACTGCTCTAGCTCGCATCAGTTTCAAGACTTAAATATTCTCATCAAATTGTTTGATGTTTTGATTTTTTTTGCAGATTTACCCTCTAAATGGACCAACTACTGGGGGAACCATCCTGACATTAGAGGGGCAGAATTTTGGGGGACCTAGTTCAACATTAACAGTGAAGTTGTCCAATGTCAATTGTAAAGTTATAGCATGGAATACCTCTAGGTAACATTTCTTTATAATTCCTTCAAAAATCCCTCAAACTAGGAGTCATCTTTTTGATTTTGAAACACAGCTATTTTCGGCCACATGTGAATTTGAAGGCTCAAATTTTGAAGTGAGCTGTGAACACTATTACTGATTGGCCTAGCTAAGACTTAGATATGATATAAAACTATATTTCATTTCATTAGTCCAATAAGATACAGAACAGTAGGATATAAAACTACATTTCATTTCATTAGTTCAAGGTTTTGTGCCTTGTGATTTTATTTGACAATAATCTAACACATACTTTTCAGCTTAACTTGTACAACGCAGCCTGCGAGTGGACCTCAAACCAGTACAGTTCAACTCAATGTTTTAGATCAGATGCTGACTGGTGAAAGAAATTATAACGTTGATGGAAGTGTCTATTCTACTCAACACTTTTCCTATAAGGTAGGAATTTACTCTTGTCTTTCCATTTCAGTCAATATCTACATGATCTTCAAATTTTAGACAAGTCTTGGCTTATTTGTAGTTGACTTAAGTAATGGAATGGAAACCTGTTGGTCTGCATCAGGCCTTTTCTGATATTTTTGACAAATACAAGAGGCCCTTTCAAATATTTTTGTCCCTCAACAGGAAACAGTGGTGTCGATGTTTGAGCCTACGTATGGCCCAGTGGCTGGTGGCACTGATATTTCTATACGTGGAGAGAATCTAGATATTGGCTTAAACCGTTCCGTGTCTGTGGCTTATGACTTTAATTGTGAAATATTCAAGTAAGTTCTAGTACTTTTGGCTTTTGGAAGGTGTAAGGGCTGACAGCTAAATCTCGAAAGCACTATCCATGGTTAGAGAAATTTTCCATCTTTTGCATGATTAAAGACTGAACTCTATAGCAGACGACAATCCATCTCGCTACTGACTGGGCTGTTCCACTATCTTAGCAGACGACATTCAAACTCTGCTACGTACTCTGAGCTATTCCAACTCACTACTGAGCTATTCCACTGCCCAAGCAGACGACGATTCACCGCCCTACAGACTGGGCTGTTCCACTGTCATAGCAGACGACTATCCAACTTTCTACTGACTGAGCTATTCCAATGCTCTTACAGACGTCTTAATTTGCTCAGAAAAGAAGAATTTAAACGTTTGCTCCATTTTTTTCAGTTTGACATCTGATTTGATAAATTGTAAAACTGTTCCTTGGAACAAGACATCAGGATTTATCGATCGACAGCGTAGATCAGTAGACACAGACGCTAAAGGTCGTGGACCTCTCAGGTTGACCATAGATGGCGCTGAATTCACATCAGATGCTATGGAGAATTCCAATTTTTACTATTTACCAAACCCTGTTATCTCTCAGATTAATCCACGAAAAGCCTTTAGAAGGTATTGTCCCACTTAATTTCTTGTTTGTTTGTTTGCTTAAAAGCTTATTTTAAAGCATCATGACAAGTCAAGAGCTCAAACTCAAAACCTTTTCATCAAAACATAGTCAAAGATCAACTGGCTCTTGTTTTATAAAAGATCACCTGATAATTTTTTGAAGGGGGGCTCAAGTATGGGGGAGAGGGCAAAATATTCTTTGAGGGGGCCCGGCCCCCCCTCTAGCCCCCTCCAGCTACAGGCCTTGATCTCCTTTATATTGTTTTCCTTTCAGTGGTGGCATACCTTTAATAGTTCAAGGTAAACATTTAGATTCGGTTGCTATGCCGTATCTAAGGGCTTCAATCGGTAATGAAGATATTGCAGATAAGCAGGTACCATAACTCTTGTCTTTTTTTTTCTCGTTAAAATATATACAATTTATAGGGCTCACTGGGAGATTCTACAGTAAAGTTACATGAATACAGCCCCGTCTTTAGGGTGGGGTCTGTAGGGGGTGGGGGGTGGTTTCCGTGAGGGCTGGGCTCAAGCAAGTGAGAATTAATCCCTAGCAAAATCTTCTTCAGTTCAGCAGAGATTGATTAATTTACAGTGTCTTTATACAAAATCAAAAGATATAGATTTAAATACGTTTTTGGCAACTCAAAGTTGTCAGAAATGAGTTTTCTGAGCCTTTAATTCTTGAAATTTTCTGAGTACAAAATCTGAGTCCCAGCACCAATTCATTCCTGACGACGGAGCAGTGAATACATCAACATGAAAGTGGGGTTTAAGGTTGAATAAATCTGGACTAACATGCATTTGAAGGCACAAATTTCGATGTTTAGTTGTGGACACTATTACTGATTAGCTTAGCAGAGATACTCTTGATTGAACAGATAGTGAACGCGCCGCTTTAAAACTAAGGTTGTGTCCCCTGATTGTCAAAGGTTTAAGACCACTAATATTATGAACTGTTTCATTTCAGCTATGCACAGTCAATCCTGGGGGTGAGTCTATGACCTGCCCTTCATTAGATGTGAGGTCAGTCATTGTGGACATCGACCCCAATGACCCTGCAGAAGTTAATATTTGGTTTGTGATGGATGGCGTGTCTGACTTGCGGAACTTTCATCAGACCCAGGGAGACCTCAGCAGTATGACCTATTACCCAGATCCTGATTTCGACAGTTTTCCAGGTATTGGAAACGTAATGGAGTTCGATATCAACCAAGAGAAACTGGAATTAAAAGTATGAATTTTATTGGTTTTTTTTATCCTCTTCTGCTCTTCTTTCTCTACATCCAAACTTAAGATTTGACCGGAGTACACAATTGACTAAAGATTGAGCCTAGTCAGACATGACTGGTAAATGACTTTGAAATTCTTGGGGTTCTGTAAAGCCTGTGTCGATTTCAAGTCATTTTCAGAGATTTTTTTGGTTAAAAATTTACTTCATTGTGCACTGCATAATATTGCATCGTAAATTGATGAAAAACATGCACTTCATATGCATTTTTAGGGAAGAAATTTTCAAGGATTCAGTAAAAGTGATGTGAAAGTTATAATCAATGGTAAACTGTGTAATGTGACAGATATTAAAACAAACAGTCTGGTATGTTCTCCCGGAAATAAACCAAAACAGGTAGACCCAGACAACCAGGATAAACTTAAAGTTCAGGTAAGTCTAAACTATCAACTCAAATTTAAATCCAGCTGATGGAAAAGTATCAGTATTTTGCATGGATGGTAATTTCAGATTCTGATACGATTTTACAAGGATAACAACTTCAGTTCTTGATGAGGATCCTGTCTACCAGCAGGTTTTGCTCTTAAAAGGATAACAACTTCAGTTCTTGATGAGAATCCTGTCTACCAGCAGGTTATGCTCTTAAAAGGATAACAACTTCAGTTCTTGATGAGGATCCTGTCTACCAGCAGGTTATACTTTTACAAGGATAACAACTTCAGTTCTTGATGAGGATCCTGTCTACCAGCTGGTTATACTTTTAAAAGGATAACAACTTCAGTTCTTGATGAGGATCCTGTCTACCAGCTGGTTATGCTTTTAAAGGGATAATAACTTCAGTTCTGGATGAGTATCCTTTCTACCAGCTGGTTATGCTTTAAAAGGATAACAACTTCAGTTCTTGATGAGGATCCTGTCTACCAGCTGGTTATGCTTTTAAAAGGATAACAACTTCAGTTCTTGATGAGGATCCTGACTACCAGCAGGTTATGCTCTTAAAAGGATAACAACTTCAGTTCTTGATGAGGATCCTGTCTACCAGCTGGTTATACTTTTAAAAGGATAACAACTTCAGTTCTTGATGAGGATCCTGTCTACCAGCTGGTTATGCTTTTAAAGGGATAATAACTTCAGTTCTTGATGAGTATCCTTTCTACCAGCTGGTTATGCTTTAAAAGGATAACAACTTCAGTTCTTGATGAGGATCCTGTCTACCAGCTGGTTATGCTTTTAAAAGGATAACAACTTCAGTTCTTGATGAGGATCCTGACTACCAGCAGGTTATGCTCTTAAAAGGATAACAACTTCAGTTCTTGATGAGGATCCTGTCTACCAGCTGGTTATACTTTTAAAAGGATAACAACTTCAGTTCTTGATGAGGATCCTGTCTACCAGCTGGTTATGCTTTTAAAGGGATAATAACTTCAGTTCTTGATGAGTATTCTTTCTACCAGCTGGTTATGCTTTTAAAGGGATAATAACTTCAGTTCTTGATGAGTATCCTTTCTACCAGATGGTTATGTTTTTAAAAGAATAAGAATTGAGTTCTCTAGGATCTGCCAGATGGTATTTTTTTTTAATTGCTGTTGGATATACAAATGTGGCTCTGCCCGACCATCTTAAAATCCTTATATTTTTCACTATTTGTAGGTAACCGTTGGTAATTTGGTGTTTGATATAGGATTTTTAGTGTACACCATGACGAGCGACGCTGGTTCCACAATGATTATAGTACTCGGCCTTATTATTGCGTTGGTCGTCATAGCAGTCATTATTATCCTTCTGATCATGAAGAAGAAGCGATTGGGGTTTTTCAAGCCGAGGTTAGACGATCGAAGTATACGTTACACACAAGGTGATCAAATTGGTATCGAAGGTTTCGCTCCGGCAGAAGGCATTACATATAATTTGGAAAATCGGCAAAATAGTAAGTGCTGTTATATTTCTTGATTTTATGTATTAGGTTCTTAACACAAGGGTTGTTTGGGATTCGTCTTATGACAATGATGCTTTGGGATTCCCCATGATCCAATCTACCAGTTGGTCCTTGTTCAAATGTTGGCAGTGCTTTGTGATGATTCTTAGTTGTTGAGATGGGACAATAAACAGAGGCCCTGTGTGCTACAGGCTGTAAGATCCCTCGACAGTTGGAAATTGTACATTTTTTAATTTTTAATCTCAGACTATACAGAGCGAGGTGCTATGGAACAAATTTCAGCCACTGATCTCATAGATGATGATCTACTAGCTTTGATAACCAACGAAAACTTACTGATCGGGAGTGAGCACTTGATGAAAACTGATATTCTTGGACAAGGTATTGTGTTATTTTACTATAAATGAGAGTAAACCAGCAGGTGATCCACATAGCTAATAACATTTATTTGATATTTAGGTTTGTCTGCTCAGTATTTTTTTGGAGAGTCCACATGCTATGTCATAGCCAATGTTTACTGGTCTTTGTCAAATTGGCGTTCTCTTTGAAGAATCCACATTTGATATTTAGGTTAATCAACTCAATCCCTATTTCAGAGAGTCCACGTAGCTGGTAATTTTTAATTAGTATTCAGGTTTGTCAACTTGACTTTCCTTTAGAGAGTCCACATGGTAAATATTTTGTATATTTCCAGGTAATTTCGGCTGTGTGTATAAAGGATTTCTTACGACACCAGATGAAAAGGGAGATAAGCTTGTTGCCGTTAAAACATTACATCGTAAG